TGATAGGGTGCTTTTATTTAGCAAACCTGCTGTATCCAGATGTGTCTGCTGCACCAGATCTGCCAATGAAACTGTGGATCACATTTTCATCATAGGTTCTTTTTCCATCTATGTTTGGAGTAAATACGGTGGCATACCAGGAATACAAACTGACAAAAAGCTTCTCAAGATGCTCTTGATGACCTTGTGGATGCAGAAAAGTCATAATGAAGTCCAAAAGTTAATCATTGACACCATGCCTATTATTATCTACTAGAACCTTTGGAAGAATATATGCAGTGCAAAATATGGAGGAAAGGCATCATCCATGGCCAGGGTCGTGTTCTCTATCAACTCATATGTTTCAATGCTGCCAAGGACCTATTTCCCTTATATCTCATGTCCTTTCAACTGGAGTGAACTATATCCAATAGTGGAACAAATTAAACACCACACCTCTGTCACTCAAGTTGTCTAGCAAAGACTTGAAGCACACTTTGTGAAGGTCAATAGCGATGGGAGTGCTTTAAGTAATCCAGGCAGAATATGGGCAGGGGTTATCATTAGAGATCACACCAGTGAGTTCATCCATGCCATTGCTACCCCATTGGAGAAGCTACTAACAATCTTGCTGAAGTAGAAACATCCATCATATGAGTGCAATGGTGTTTGGACAATGGATTTCACAAAGTCCACCTTGAGGCATAATTCTCCTTATCCAGTGGCTGAACAAAAATTAATCCCCCTGGACTCTAAGGATGAAAGTGCAGAAACATAAGGAACTCAGCTCACAGTGTGAGGAATTCAGATCCTCACATGTGTATAGAGAAGCTAATTGCCCAGCTGATTCCTTATCCAAGTTAAGTCATGAGCTGCCAGAAATGACCCATTTCCACTTCCCATTAGCTCTACCTAACCAAATCAGAGGACATATCTTACAAGACTCCATCAGCACTCCAGTTTCAGACACAGGAAAATAAGTAGAATCACTGCACCATCACAATCTTCTCAAGGATATGGGTAAAATCAAAGCAGCAAGGGGAGCAGACCTAATTGTCCAATTATCCATACCCATGGCCCCATATGATCACAAGCAGAACAAGCACCTTTCTCAATTCTGGAGGAGAACACTGGTGCAGTTTGGTATAGTAACCTTGGTTTTAGTTTTGCAGGTAATACCAAGCCCTCGCAAAATCCTCTAGTGGTCCTTCAAAGTATGGTATCAGAAAGTGTGTTGCTTTATCTAGTGAAGGATCATCAGAGCACTGAAGCATGCCTTTATAGCCATGAAACCAAACACCTAATCATACCACCAACCCAAAAAGTCCTCCCAATCTCCAATACACTTCACCAATTACCTATACCTCCAATCTACTGCACGAATGATCAACCAATCCAAATGACTGCCTACATTCCTCACCTACAACTGGAAGTCATTCACCCAGTTTGACACCAACAAAACACAACCATCCACTCAATCTCAACCCACCAGTCTATTTCAATTACCCTACAGCCTTAGTAACAACTAACCTTACCCCAACAAACCATACTTAACCAGCAAGCACACAGATCCCAAAACCTGAGATCGTACACACATGTAATTCTCAGAAGCCACAAGAACCTGAGAATGGCCTCACACTTAACTCTCAACCTTCAAAAGGAACTGAGAGGAGAGAATCACTGCTGCAAAACAAGAAGCAGAAAAAATTGCTTTTACACTAACTTTGTTTGTTTTATTGCAGGTATATATATATATATATATATATAATATATATATATTATTATATATATAAATAATATTATATATACTATATATATATATATATATATATATGCTTAACCAATTTACATATCCTTAATGTGGGGTATCAGTAAAATATGTACTCATTCTACTGAGGAAATCTCAATGTCTTAAAGTAGGTCCTAGTTTGACTACCTCAAATAGACAGCCTCACACCATACAACTCACAGCTTCCCCCAGTTAACTTTTGCCTTTTCATGCTCCTTCTCATTACATGGAGGAAACAATAGGGCAACACTTGGAGCTGGACTTCCTCAACTCAGACTGTGCAACATGAATCTCAACATGCATAACACTGCAATCCTATGCAATTCACTGATATAGAACCGGTACATGCTGTAGGACACCAACATTCGAGCCATCATCAACTGGAACATCAACATAGTTCCAACAGCTTCAACTTCAAGTCCAATGGACACCAACAGATGCCACCATCCTCCTAACTTCTTACAGCTAACCAAATTGTTTAGTTTTAGAGGTACCATGTTGAGTGATATGTCCTTACTATTGAGAGTTTCTCATAGTGTGGTATTAGCACAATTTGTGCTCAATCTACTAAGAGCATGTCAAATAATCAAGGCATGCCAGTTCCTGAATATCACACACTTGTGCATGAATTTAACAGGTACCCAGTAGGGCACACCTAGGGTTCCAAACTTAGCTGCCCTGCACTGCTTTCTCATTAGCCCTCAGATACAAAAACTTACATACTGCAGCAACCTCTTCCCAAAGGGTGATGTGCGTGAGAAGATCTGCCTCAGCTCCCAAAACCTACCATCTCAACCTGTCTGTTTCATTGCCTCCTGGATCAAAGTAAACAACAACTACTCAATCTCTTCTGTCAAGAACATCATGCAAAAGCATCAACCTCAATCATCTACTTGTGCTCTTTTGATAATTATCTTCAACTTGGCTTTCTCCATTCTTATTGTCAAAGCAAAGTTGAAGATAGTTCCTCATGCAATCATCAGCATTTGGTCATTCTCCACAGGGAGATTCTTCTTTAGATGTAAGTCTTATTGTATATGGATGATGCACTTTCTATTCAACCACATAGTAGATTTAGGTTCACTTGTGCATTTTTGTATAGTTGGCCTAGGCTTATTTCATCATAGTAGACCTATTGCCTATCATTTATGGATAGGCAATTGGTACATCATTATAGGTCTAACTTCACATAGTCTACAGGATCTATTATGTTGTCAAATTAGGATGACCAAGTGTGTATCCACCATATTCTCGGAGGTTAGGTTAATGTCCCCTCCTTTGTTGTAATCTATTTTACATTTATGAAAATTAATCCTAGGCACAATGCCTAGTGGATTGTCAAGTAGTTCGTAATCATTCCAATCAAATTTTGATCATCCTGAATAGCAGTTAAACCAGGAATTACTAGAGCATTGTTTAAATTCAATTCCTCTGGAGACGATAATTATACTATACTATCTTTGGCTAGCGAGCATCAATTTTGTGTTGTGTTTTGCGTTTGTCAAATTTTGGCGTCGTTTCCAGGGATTGTCAATCAACAATAGTTTTTGGTGCTAATTCAGGAACCTATTTTATTTTATTATTCATGGGTTTTCTCTTCCGTGTGTAGGAAACAGGTTGACATCTCTGGTGTATGACTCGATCTTCTTCAAAAGAATTGATTCCATACAATTCAGAGGTGGAAAAGAGTATGTGACAATTGAGGAAACAGAAAGAACTCACCAAAAAGTTCTTGGGGAAACCTTCAACCCAAGAGAACATGGCTAAAAACAATGAGCAGGTAGTTGATTTGGCTGCACAGGAAGCAGCCTAACAGGAAGCAGCCGCACGGGCAGCTGCTGGGGCAGCCTTTACAGTTGCTGAGGAGACTGTCGAAGATGATGTGGTCGAAGATTCAATCTAATCGACCATCGATTGAAGAACAGTTCGAAAATATGGTACCCAATCCTGGTAGAGCATTGGGTGATTATGTCAGACCAGTCTACAATCAGGGACTGTCCGGTGTCAGACCTCTACCCGTAGCAGCGAATAATTTTAAGTTGAAGCAAGCTTACTTCAAGCTATCTAGAACCACTGTGTATTCAGAGGGAAGCTGAATGAAGATCCTAACACTTACTTGATGAATTTTAAGGAAATCATGAACACCTTTTAGTACAACGTAGTGTCAAAAGATGAAGTCTACTTAAGGGCATTCCCCTTTCACTGAAGGATGAAGCGAAGCACTAGCTTCGTAGCTTACCAAACTGGGTCGATCAGGACATGGGAAGATATGACTAAAAAGTTACTTGACAAATACTTCTTATCCGCAAAAATAGTGAAATTCAGAAGGGAAATTCACAACTTCTGTCAGAAGGACACTGAAACGATTTTTGAGGCTTGGGAAAGATTCAAGTAGATAGTGAGAAAGTGCTAGCATAATGGGATTGAACTTTGACAACTCCAGGATTTTTGGGATGGCCTGACACCTTTCTCACGACGAACTCTGAGCACTACAGTTGGAGGTCTTTTAATGAAGAAGACTCCTGAGAAGATTGTTGTAATTCTTGATGAGCTCTCTGAAGATGCTAACCAATGGACTATTGAGAGTAATTATAGAAAAAAACTAGCTAGGTTCATCAAGTAGATTCTAACACATTAGTGAAAGCCCATCTAGACTCCATGACCAAAGAGATAAGAAAGTTGACCTTAGCCAAGGTCCAAAGCCAACCATCATCAGTTTATGACTTTTGTGGAATGGGTCATCCAACGCATGAGTGTCACGCCTCACTTGCAGATGAAGTGGTAGATGCTGTGGTAAGCTTTGACAAAGGAAACTACTAGAGTGGCAATAATTTTAACTCTATGGGGCAGAGGCACCCAGACTTTTCTTGGAAATCACCAAATGGTAGTCTGAACTCATGGAAGTAGAATAATCCGAGACCACAGGGACAAGGAGCTCTAGGATTTCAGAATCAGCAGCAGCAACAATACCAGCCTCCACATTCTAATCAGTCTATCATGGAAGATCTAATGAAGGTTTTCATTAGTAAGACAGATGAGAGATTAAAACTCATAGTACAGCTATTCGAAACTTAGAGAGGAAAGTGGGGCAGATTGCTATTCTGTTACCCAAGAGGTCTCCAGGAACCCTCCACGTGGATACCGAAAGGAATCCAAAGGAGAGAATAAATGCAATATCTTTGAGGAATGGCAAAGTATTTGAGATCCATTAGTAGTAGAGAAGAAGGAGTTGATGGGAAATCAAGATAAGAATGAAGGAGAGCAGAAAAGTGATGAGCACCATAGGAATAAAGTGAGGGCACAACAAGAGGATGATCTGAAGAAGAAGAAGAAGAAGAACAAATCTGACGTTTCAACAAGGAAGAAGAAGACAAACAAAGAAGTAATGATGAGATCGAAGAGAGTAAATATATGCCAGCTCTACATTTCCCTTAGAAAAAAGAAGAGAGAAGCTGGACAAACAATGTGGGCGTTCTCTAGAAATACTCAAGAAGGTGCATGTTATTGTACCTTTCACAGCGGTGCTTTCACAGATGCCAGCATATGCCAAGTTCTTAAAGAAGATATTGTCCAACAAGCAGAAAGTAGAGGAGACATCGGTAGTCAAGCTCACAGCGCATTGTAGTGCTATTCTGCAAAATAAGCTCCCTCAAAAGTGTGGAGATCCAGAGAGTTTTACTATACCTTGCTCTTTAGGAAGTACTAAACTTAAAAATTCTTTGTCTGATTCAGGTGCTACTATTAATCTTATGCCTTTGTCTATTTTCAGGAAATTAGAGGGAGATATTAGAGAAATCAGGTCGATACTTGTGTCCTTGCAGCTGGCGGATCAAATCACAATCATACTTGAAGGAATAGTGGAAGATGTGCTAGTTGGGGTGGACAAATTTGTGTTCCTTATGGACTTCATTGTGGTAAACATGGAGGAGAATAGGGAGGTTCCTCTAATTTTAGGAAGACCCTTCTTGGCTACTGGCAGAGCAATTCTGGACATTCTGGAAAGGCAACTCATGCTCAGAGTGGGGGAAGAAAAGGTGATCTTTAAGATGGAAGGAGCAATGAGGGACCTAAAGGAGCAAACTGGAGAGAGTAAAACTAGTAAGGGTGTACCCAAAAAAGGACGAAAATAAGCTCTTAGCATGAATGTGTACACTGAGGGCGTGCAAAGGAGATCCCGACTTCGATGCAGACCCCGACAAGATAAATCAGGGGAGTTTCCTTTACCTCTTGCTTTTTATTTGTGCGTCATGGGAACATACCGCAATTTTAAGTGTGGGTTGAGGGATGTAAATATGTAAATGTATGTTTGTTTTCGTTTCTTTTGATTGTTTTTTTTTTTACTTTTCCTGACGATGGATTTCCTCGACTGTCTTCTTGAGGGATCAAAGTCGAAGAAAAAATATTTTGTTTTTCCTAGGTAGTGTAACAATTCCCCCTTGGCTTTTTTTTATGTTGCGATTATTTTTCAAGGATTTTGCTTGAACCGGTTGTAGTTAGTTTTTATTAGGAATAAGGAAGTCTTGTGCTATGGTGTTAAATTGAGATAACTGCTCTTAACTTTGTTGTGCCTTGAGAATAGTGAGTGCCTTAGTTGTAACGCCTAGGCTCAGTTCTTGACTCATGTATTGTAGCGCCTTGAATTGTTTGATTTTGGCTTTGCTACTACTTTGAGTAGAGAGTCGGGGTAGATCCGATCCTAAGTGAGTTATATGCCAATGTGTGAGTGAGGTTTTTGTGGATATTATGTGCATGTCAATTGATGTCTAGAACTTGCCTCGTGTGTTTGAAAGCGAAATAGCAGTCATGTTCAGTCTAGGAAGTGATATAAGTATTTCTTTGTGGAGCCGATTATATGTTTATGACCTGCATGATCGTTGTGTATCCTAGTTAATCCCGTTGACCCTGCAATCCTACTTCTTTGGCAATCACACTGCAAGCTTGATCCACTTTGTTAGAATTGATTATCTATTTGAACCTTCTACCTCTTTTGAGAACTTGACTTTATTATGAGCTTGTAAAATCTAAGTTGAGGTATGGTCTGGTTTTTGAGTAGAACTATTGAATAAGGAGAAAGGTACATTGTTTGGAAAATTGTGAGAGCCGCTTGTACGGAATTGAAAGAAAAAAAGTGAGTTTGCTTGAAAGAAGAAAGAAAAATTAGAACTTTGAAAAGAAAATAATTTGATTCCTTGATAGTGGTAGTTCTCATCTTGTCTGTGCTTAAAGAAATTTGGATCTTGAGGTTATTATGTGTGAAGGTTGGGTTTGATTTAATATAAGTGTGGGGTTGACATGTTAATGTATATGTATTAAGTGCTTAGGGAGGGTTGGGCACAATTATCTATATGTATCTTACCTGTCCTGCATTCTATATTACAACCAATTAAAGTCCTACTTGATTCTTAACTGAATGAGCTCAAATTAGTAGAGTACTACACTACAGGCAAGCCTATGGTATGTGTTTTATGGCACATGAATTTTGTTTCTGAGAGTGAGTGAATTCGTTCTATCTTGAGTTCCTAATTGGTCTTTAACTTTATTGTGTGTGGAACTAATCTCTATTGATTGTGTGAGGGCACATGACTTGTGAAGGAAAGGTAATGTCTTTGGGCTAGTAGAAGAAGTATATAGTTCTGTTTCTGTTGCTTATTATACAAAAAAACTAAGAGAGAGAGCGTCACATTGCTGACTTTCATGATCTTATCTAAATCTTGCTTTTTTTTCTTTTGTTTTTTCACTTTCATGTTCTTATCTCTCTCTCAAAAACAGAAAGATAAAACGAGGAGAGGGGAGAAGAAAAGAAAAGAAAGATATTTTATGAGAATGATTGATGATCTTTCTGAAAGAAATAAGAGCCGGGTTTGGAGTAGCTTTTAGTTATGCGTGGGCCGTTAGAATATTCTTAACATTTCTTTACGGTAGGATGAATGTTTGTAAATATGTAGAAGTAAAGGATGAGCAGAGCTCGAGCTCCAATGGTGGAACCCTAGAAGGTTCTCGGAGAGAGAGGGAGAGGGGGTGAGAGAATCTGTTATGTGAGAAATGAGCTGATTAGTTGTATTAACAAGCCAAATTAGTACATATATACAACATACGTGTGAGTCCCACTGTAACTGATACTAACTCAACTAACTAACCACTCAAACTAACAGCTAAGCTTACGTATAACTAATACAAAATAAATACAATATCTCAATAAAACTGTCAAACTTTTGAATAGTTTAGGTATGCTTTTTGTTCACTTAGTAGTACAAGGATGTACTTTAAGTTGGAGGCGTAATTCAAGGATGCTTTTAGTTTAGAAATTTTTAACTTTGTTTCGAGAAAAAAGTTATTGCTATATTTTTTTTTCGAGAAATAGAATACTGACTAAAATTCATTGGTGCACAGTTGATGGTGAAGTTTGGAAAATTGTATGGATCATCACTGGGTTTGAAGAGGTTTGAATTTAGGCAAGGAAGAAGAGGGAGAGAAGATGGGTAAGATTTGGTGTCTAATATACTATTTCGTATATAAATGGTCGAAATAATATATGCTAATATAATTAAGTGATAACATAGATGAAATGCGTTCTTAAATTCGTTGCAATCTTAAATAAGATTTTTGAAAATATGATTTTAGTTGAGTCGTGTTGGTTCCCCAAGTATACACAAGTATACGTGGCCGTCAAGTAATAAAGTGACTCGAAAGTCGGATGTCAAATCCGCAGAGACTTAGATTAATCGTTAACTAAGTAAACTAAAATCAATTAACTGTCCAAGATAGTCAAAAATATTATTTGTCTACCAAACTACTTTTGCAAATATTGAACAAGTAATTAGCTAATTTATCAGGGATGCAAACAGGTGTTTTGGATTTTTCTCAGAGGAGATGAAGATTCCAGGGTTGTGGTTGGATTATCAATCCTATTAAGTTCAATAATATACTCATTAATCCAGATTATCAAAGGTTGCTAATTGATCGGATCGTTTATATGAATAGCATATTCTCACAATACTAATCACCTGTCCGCAATATACAATCCTATATTCTTATGGTATTGAATCTATCATGAACGAATATAATACGGTTTTAACTAAGCAAGACTGTTAGGTATATTCCTATTCCAACTGCGAAATCATTCCCTGAGCCACGGGTTCAGAAACAAGCTCTCTTTAACTCTACTCTAATCTAAACGCGATTTTCTCAAGCATAGCATAGATAGTATGGTGAATTGGCAGCTACTACAATTCACAAGTTAAAACTAGAATTAAAGAAACAACCATAAGATGATAATCCGAATTAACGAAGATGTAATTAATAAACGTTAATAATCATGTCAACCACAACCCTAGAAACTAGAGTGCTTAGTCACTCATGTTCGTAGTAACAACTTTCCAAGTATTTTGCATAAACAAATTACAAAGAAAAGATGAAGGAATGAAGAACTCGATGATTTTCTCCTCCAAAGCATGTTCCCAACGTCTTCTCTCCTTCACAAGTCACGTCTCTCCTTCACAAGTCACGTCCGTCCTCCTCAAGTCACATTCCGTCCTTCACAAAAGTGAGTTTAAAGCCTATTTATATGGGATAGGATTAGCATGGGGCGAAATAATACAAGCCCACTTCGAAACAACCTTTTTAGGTTAGCTCGTTCACTCTCTCGTATGCACGCGAGAGTGAACGAGCAAAGTTCTTCTCTTTTTCTTTTTCTTCTAGGCCTCTCGTGCACATCCATGCCTTTTTGCTATATACTCCACTGTTTTTTTTCAAGCTTTTCCTCAGTAGCTCGTTCACTCTCTCGTGTGCACGCGAGAGTGAACAAGCAAAGTCCTTCTTTTGTCTTTTGGTCCCGAATCAATTTCTTTTGCTCCCATTTCGTCCAACTTGCTTCTACACATAAGAATGCACGTAATGAGCATAATTCACTACAAAAACTCATGTAACCTACCATAGCCACACACGTTATGAGATGAAAGTACATCGAAAAATATGTATTTTTGGCCGTTTATCAAGCCGATTGAATAAGCATATACATACTTGAACTATTCTGTTGTTAAATTAGTACCGAAAATTTTGAAAACTTGAGATAATATTAGAGTGTCAAATTAATAAAGTTGTTGAAGTTATCAATATAATATATAAATTACTGATCGCACTCGTAGTATATCATTAATGTGATAAATCAATTATTTTTGGCTTTAAGGGAATATTTTCAAAATAAACGCAAACTGTAAAAAAAATTGTCATAATCATGTGGGCCCAGACCTAATGCCACCTAGGATGACAAGTCATCATAGGCACACGTTAAAGTAAAGATTGATGGTGACTTTAATATACACTACGTAGTCAAAATGATGACGACACACGCATAGCGCACGCTTGTCACAAGCAAACATTCCTCGTACATATTTTTTATTTTACCCTCATTATACTGAAGAATTATACTCTTAACTCCAATTTAACTACCTTATATTTGGATTAAAATTAAGGGTAAAAGTGTCATTTGATCAATTCACTTTGACTTCAAATTCTTATAAGATCAACAGATTCTATCAGAAAATTCCATCAAGTTGTGTCACGTCTCTTTGCAAATCACTCTATTGACATCCAAAATGGCCATTTCTTCTAAATATATTGCTATTTTTCTCATTTTTATTTTCCTTTCTTTTCCATCAAAAATCACATGTCAATCTGAAAATAATGATACAACTCGATCAAAATGTGGTTCAGATACTGGACATGGATGTAGAAACAAGAATGAGGCATTAAAGCTAAAACTTGTTGCCATTGCTTCAATTCTTGTAACTAGCATGATTGGTGTTTGTTTGCCCCTTGTTTCTCGTACAGTTCCTTCCCTTCAACCCGATAAGAATTTATTCGTGTTGGTTAAGGCGTTTGCTTCCGGGGTTATACTAGCCACGGGATACATGCACGTTATGCCTGACTCGTTCGATTGTCTTAGGTCAGACTGCTTACCGGATAATCCCTGGAAAAAATTTTCCTTCACGACTTTTGTTGCCATGCTTTCGGCTATTCTTACTCTTAGCGTGGATTCATATGCCATGAGTTACTTCAAGAAGTATAAATTGGAAAATGGAAGAGATTTTGTTCATAATGGGAAGATGGAGTCACAAATTATTGACAATAATAGCCACATTCATGGTGAAGCCAAAGTTGATGACAAAGCTACTCAATTGCTTAGGTATCGCGTGGTGGCTCAGGTACAATTCTCACTTCGATTGGAATTGTCTTATATTCCGTGTTATTGGAGTAAGGGTAAAGTTATCTCCGAGACCTATAGATCACTAGTTCGAGCCGTGGAAGCCGCCGCTAATGCTCGTATTAGGGTAGACTGTCTGCATCATACCTCTTCCGATATGCCCTTCTCTGAACCCAGAGAGAATGGGGATGCTTTGTGCACTGCACTGGCCAACCGTATTATTGTAGTTCTAATATTGGCCATCATATTGTATATCAACAATTATTAATAATCTGTCGTATTTAAAAAACTTATATGTCAATATGTATAATATTCTTAATTTATATTTTTTATTCACCTTAGTTGAATGTCATATGGAAATGCAGGTTTTGGAGCTAGGAATTGTTGTGAAGTTGTTTATTGTGTTTTCTTGGATTGTCTTTGTGTTGGTACTAGTTTTCAAGATGATGTTGTGTAGTTATGTTATGTTGCAGATGTTTGAAGTTTATGTATTAGGTTCAGATGAAGTTTGAAGTTAAACTACAAAAATGAAATATGAAGTTTGCAGATGTATATATGTATTAGCTTCAGATTTTGTAATTCTGCATTTGTAATGGTTCTCTGTTGGTATGAAATCAAGTTTGTTACCATTCTCTTCACTCTCATACAACATTTTGTATACACAGACAATCACAATAACAAATAGAAATATCTCTTATAGATAGACAAGATAGACAAGAAGAACATTGCCATTAATCGAGTAGCAAATATACATTGTTTCAAGATTTAAGCCCAACAAAACATTGCTATTAGACAAGTAAATGTGTGATCCAAAAACATGTACCACTGTCACAACATTTACTTGTCTAAAAACCTAGAACATAAACAAACATCATGTACTCGAACAGTCATGCAAAAAAAGGATTTTAATGTATATTATATTCATCATTTCTTGCTACACTACTCCCCCTTGCCCCTCCCCTTGCCTCTTCTAGCTTTAAGTTTGCCAATCTTTTTCTCTTTCACACCCAACAGATGAGCTGTTGTCATTGCCTCCTTTCCCTTCCAGGTAGTTCTTTCTGGGGAGTATGGCAGTTTTGTTGGTTGTGAGCTACCAGTGTGATCACCTGTTAATGGTATCTTCCTAGTCCCAGAATTTTGTTGATTCCTACATTGAAGTCTAGTCTTAATATCAGACACAACCTTAGGCCTCAAAACTGAGTCAGCTTCTGCACCAAAGTCTCCTTGAATAAGCCTTCTTCTGGTCTGAATATTTTGACTTGGCATCTCAGTTGCCTGGGTGTCATGACTGGAGTGCTGACTTGGCATCTGAGTGTAGAGACTAGATTGCTGACTTGGCTGCTGAGTGTCATGACTGGATTGCTGAGTTGGCATATGAGTGTTCTGACTGAATTGCTGACTGGACAACTGACTTGGTTGGCTAGCCTGACTTGCATTTGTTGGTCTTGTGCTTTAAAACCTGGATTAGGGACCATGAAAAATTCTAATTCTTGGTCTTCATTTGTCTATGTGTGGTCTTGCACTTTCTTTGACTGTAATTATAATCAAATATATTGTGGGTAAAAAAAATAGATTGTTAGTATAAACAATATATTGAAAGTATACCTTACTGGCTAATGGACAACTTCTTTTACTATGGTTTGGCTTGCCACAAAAACCACAAGTCATTTGAAGACCCTTCCTAGAAGTTGACCATTGTCCTTGCCTTTTCATAGCTTCATCCTTCTCTCTTGACCTTTTCACTTTAGGTCTACCAACCATCTTTGCTAATGGTGGTGGTTCCATGGTTTGGTGTGGCTCAACTTTCTAGAATCTTTCACCTCTAACAGGCTGCAGCTTGTGCTGATACACCAACTGCCAGGCTTGTTTGGAATACCACCAGTGAATCCCAAGTGTTGGGTCTTGTTTCTTATAGTTGAATGCCCTGATAGCATGAGCACAAGGGATTCCAAACAAGTCCCAAAGTCTGCATGTGCACCTTTGTTGCTCCAGAATCACTGTGTGCCTGTCTTCACCTTCACTTATTTCAAAACCCCTTTCTCCATTGAAATTTTTCTTGCACTTTGAATCCATCTCTCTATAATCATTGTATAGCTCCATTGCATATGGGCTATATTCACCTCTCCAACTATTAACTTCTTCTGCTCTATCCTTTAGTTGATTCATCAACTTCAATTAGCAACCAGTAAACAAGCAATTAGTCAATAGTAGTCAATCAGTAACATAGTAAACAAATATTTAGTCAATTAGTCATCAGTAACTAACAACAGATTAACAGTAGACTTCACCTTCACTCTTATATCCTCAAGATTCTTCACAATTGGCTTATGTCTAGCTTCAAGAATCCAAGAGTTGAAAGACTCTGTAAAGTTGTTGTCCACCATTGGGTTCTTACATTGGGTATCAAAGTAAGCTCTACACTAGGTTACTAGAGGATATTTCAGCAAGTCCCTAACAGCATCCTCATACACTTCACCTAACTGTTTTAACATATCCTTAAATTCTTCCTCATATGTGCTCCAAGAACACCACCACATTAACTTTTTCATCGCATCAGTATTCCATTTTTTTATCCAATTGGCTTCAATATGCCTTGCACAATATCTATGATATGATTGTGGACATATAATCCTTGCAACATCTAATAGACCCTGCTCATGAAGAAACATTACATTAACAACATAAATAACATAATCTGCAGAATGTAAAAATTCTGAGCATATTGTAACATACCTTCTGCATATCTGACATGAATGTATACCCTTCACAATCTTTCAAGTCCAAAGAAGCCTTCAAGTTCTCCATGAACCACTGCCATGTTCTCTTTGTTTCTTTATCCACTACAGCCCAAGCTAATGGATACACATGCTTGCAAAAATCTTGAGCAACAACAACTAACAACATCCCTTTTGCATTTGCCTTTTAAAAAGGTTCCATCTAGACCTATTAAAGGTCTCAAACCTGCTTTGAATCCACTCTTGAAGGACTCAAAACAGACATACATCCTAAAAAATCTTCTCTTACCTTCCTCCATTGCATCCTTGGATATCTGTATCACCACATCAGTACCAGGGTTGGTTTCTCTCAACTATTGAGCATATGCCTCCAATTTGTTGTACTAATCCAAGTAATTGCCCTCCAATTTCTCTAAAACCATTCTCTTCACCTTTTTAACTTTGAGTCACTCACATTCAAACTAAATCTATCCTCTAAATCAACCTTCATCTCTTTAACCTTAAACTTAGGATTATTTGAATCTTTCTCTTAAAATAATGTGCTAAAGCAGCAGGAGTAGCTCTTCTGTTCTCAAAGACTTCACCACATTCATGTTCATCCCTCCAAGTGTTTATTACCCCTTGATCTTCGCCATCCTTAGAAATAAGACATTTAAAGGGACACCCAATCTGACACTTGTATCTAAGTCTTCTCCTATCACTCTTATCTACCTGAAGGCCCCTCTTATTAGAAATAGCATAATAACCAATAACCTCTTTAGCTTTATCAAGATCTTTGAAAGTTATACCTCTTTCCAATGTTTTATTGTCACGACCCAACCCCGATCGTGATGGCGCCCAACACACTGCTAGGCAAGCCCGACCATTTCTACAACCTTAACCGATTAATCACAGTGAATAAGTAAATTTTCACAACTAAAATACGAAATTAAATGTGAAATCCTGAATTAGATGCTAACATTCGAAAACCCAAACTATAAAATACTAACCAACCCACAGAATCTGGTGTCACAAGTCTGAGCCTCTAATGTATGAGTATTAACCTACTACACAATGTTTTTCTAGAAATATGGAAAAACAAATAAACAATATAGAAGGAAGATCAGGACTGCGAACGCCAATTTGCAGCTACCTTGAATCTCCCCAATGTGATGCTAGGCGGAGAAGATCTCACTCAGCCTCAGTAGGTGCACCTGAATCTGCACACAAGGTGCAGGGAGTATTGTGAGTACTTCCAACTCAGAAAGTAATAAATATAAATAAAGTCTGAGGAGAAGAAATCCTAAATAAACACAAAGCAAGGCTATAAATACAACAACGTGAACCAATAGCATAATACAGTAAACATTGAAAACAATTATAACAAATTAACATCAGATTAAGAATAAATGACAATTAAATATGCAATGAAACACATAAACCGGTACTCTCCAGTACCCCGCTGCGGCGTGCAGCCCGCTCCATTTATTTAATGTCGACGGCGCTCACTGGGGGTGTGCAGACTCCGGGAGGGGCCCCTTACGGCCCAAGCGCAATAATAAGCCATCTCGTGGCATCAACTAGGCCCTCAGCCTCATATAAATATCAATATCATATCGCTGCGGCATGCAGCCCGATCCCATGCTCAGTTCAAATTCACATAAGCCCCTCCGGCCCAATCAGATAGAAATATTCAGCCCAAACTTCATTAAAAATATTAATTAAGTTTCAAGTTTAAGGAAAAGTGGCTGAGTTTGCAAAACAGTATCAAATACTAGGACTGAGTTCAATTATATGTAAAAATGGTAAGGATACAGTAAGAGCAATCCCTGAAGGATTCAATCAGTTGGCACGAGGCCAAATTATGATAATTAATCCATTTTTATAAAGATATCAACTAAGCTTCAATCAATTAGGTAGTAATTTTATTAAGCGGGACGGACCAAGTCACAATCCCCGACGGTGCTCTACCCCACGCCCGTTATCCGGCGTGTAAGTCACCTCACATAGCACTACGATGTGCAAATTCGGGGTTTCAAACCCTCAACATAGCGTTTACATTTATTACTAACCTCAAGCTGGCCAAAGTCCTAGTTTGCTATGCCCTTGCCTTTCGAATTAACCTCCTCGCGCGTCGAATCTGACCAAAACCACAACGACTACGTCACAATATGCTAATGGGACAATACCCAATCAAAAACAATCGAAAAATAGTTAAATTCCCGAAATTAGCAAAAACCCGAGCCCCGGGCCCACTTCTCGAAAATCAGTAAATTTACCTTCAACGGATTCCTTATCTCTCCACGAGTCTATACATATAAAGAACACCAAAATCGGAGTCCAAATGACCCCTCAAATTCCCATTTTTGCTCTCTTAGGTTTCAAGCCCTAACCTCCATTTTTGACCTTTAATTCCTTGATTTTTCAGTCTAAATTCATGTATTTGCATCATAAAATCGTGTTCTGAGTCCAAGAATTCTTACCTGATCGAAGTCCTTGAAACCCTCTTCAAAATCGCCCAAAAACTCTCCAAGTCCGAAGTGAAAATATGAACTCTTTTGAAATTTCGCGAAGGAATTAAAACTCCTTTCTGATCAGTTGTTTCCGCATCTGCGGTACAGTTGTCGCTTCTGCGACTTCCGCTCATGCGGCCTTCTTCCGCTTCTGCGGGAATTCCCAAAGTCCCAAGGTACGCTTCTGCGACCTCATTCCCATCTGCGGCTTCGCAGATGCGGCTCCTCCAACCGCTTTTGCGGAAACAACACCCAGGCCAAAAATCGCTTCTGCGATCCTCCCTTCGCTTCTGCGTGACCGCACTTGCAGTCCCACAACCGCAGGTGCGAAAATACCAGATACCAGCAGACCTTAACCATACAAAAATTCTGAAA